ATATATATATATATATATGTATGTATGTATATGTATATGTATAAGTAGTACGTTGAAATACATTTACAGTTAGGCCGGTCCTTGCCATAGACGATTTATGATACTACAGAAGAGTCATTGTTTCCAATAATTGTAATTACCCATTGATGAATATATTATATTAACTGCAAACTAAATGTACTCAACTGCCGATTAATCTCAGACATAATAATGTTGCCGTAAGATTTTCGAAAGTATATGTAATAGAATAAGATAGCGATATATTTAAGAAAATCCTAAAAACAGAAAAAAAAACATTAAAAAAAAGAAAGAAATAAAGAAAAGTGAAAAAAAAAAAAAAATAAAAAGAATAGGATAAGCAATTACCATAAAATGGGGCACTTCAGTTTCATGCGAATTTTGCTGTATTCCCTTCAATGTACCATATGAATTTTTAATTATCAATATTAGATGTAATTTGGTTATTAGATTACGTGTAATTTGATATTATGAATGTGTTACAATCATGCATAAAAATTACGATTTATAACATATCTTTATATACAATTTTTTTGTTTATAAATGATCATTATTTAATTATTAATTGTTTATCATTATTATTCTATAATCTTGTTTTAAAAGCATTTTATTGATATTTATTTAAAAAAAAACAAGATAATAAAAATTATCAGTTGCATTGTTACTCAAACCATATTCTTCATTGTTGCAAAATTAAAGACAATAATGAAAACCAAAAAAATTCTTTAGAATGCCCTTTACCTTGTAGTAGATTCAAGCATGGATATCAAATGACAAAAAGAGATGATTGTTTTTTAATTACTTTATTTGTTTTTATAGATTATTTAGTTAAACAAAAATTTATGTTATGCGATTAAAGAAACAAGAGAGGATATTTGTTTCTCGTTTGGGAATTTGTGATTAAATTAGTTACATTCTGTGACAACATTGATAACTTTGAAGCTTTAAATAATGATTCAACAATCAAAAAAGAGAAAAAATTCAATTGACAGTAGTCATTTTACTTTGTTAAATTTATTCAAAATTTATTTCTCACAATATCAATAAGGAATGCAGCAATAAGAATTTTCTTTTATGACCTTTTTACTATGTTTTATTTGCTAAAAAATAAAATGTTTTATTTCCCATATCATTTATGATGCTTTCATAAATTTACAATATAAGCAATTAATGATACTTCTTTAATAATGGATCATTATATCCTAGAACGTAATTATTAGTTTTAGTATATATTTGAAAAGTATATAACTATTCTATATACTAAAATACTCCTAAAATTGCAATATCATTGTCATATTCGATAGATCTTTTTTTTTTACCTTTCTTTCATTAGCTTTTTCAATATAATCATATGAAATCAATAATTTCCAGCAAGATGTTATCGAATATAGGTACACAAATATTATAATTAATAGAATAATGATTGTATGTATGCAATGAACCAACAATTTTTTGTTGTAAAATTTATATTTCATTGATTATCGGTCAATTCAATTTTCTGATGCATTTAAAAATAATTATGCTTCCTCTTCTTGTAAATCATATCAAATGACTGAATTAATAAATTGAAATATAGAAAATATGGAAAAATGTAGTAATATATGTATATATATTTACGTATAATTACAATATTATATCATTAATAATTACATACTAAAGCTCGATTTAGAAACAAATTTAATTTATATTTTTTCCTCGTTCACTGAATCTGAGATTCAATAAATATAACTATATAACAAAAGCAGGGAAGTAGAATTGACATTCTCTGCATTCAATATCTTCATATTTTAATCTGTTCTAAACTATGTATGTAAACTGTATAACAAAAGCAGGGAAGTAGAATTGACATTCTCTGCATTCAATATCTTCATATATTGATTTATCTGAATGTCGTACAAGGTGATTAATAATCACATTCAAACATGTTAGATCTTCATATGATAGGGCATATATTTATTCGTAAAACAAAATACAGTGCTTTTTAAAATTGTAGCAAATAAATAAAGTCGTTTATTAATATCGCATTACAATTATTCATGTGAAATTAAATCAAGGTATGTATGTATTGGACACAAACCATTACTGCTACTCTTTCATGACAATTATAATATGTATATATGTATAAAGTCTCACTTTCCTTTAACTTTATCAATGTTAGAGACAAGTATGACTGATATCTGCGACGAATTGAAACCTGATATATATATATATATATATATATAAATATAAAAAGCTACGTTTTTAAGGCTACGTACAAAACCACATTTGAACATCGCTTAAATCCGTTTGTATGTTTGTTATTGATATTAATAAATATTTCTCGACTGAATTTCGTTTTGGGATACATCAAATTTCATGACTTTTTTTCATCTATGATAGTTCTTGACAAGTAAAATTAAAAAATAATTGGTTTTAAGGTGTGGAGATTATTATTTTTAAAATTTTATGCATATTTTTATACAGTTTACTGGGACATGCATGTTTCATAATTCACTCTATTGAGAAATATAATATAAATTTATTCAAAATTTAACTCATTATAATGTCATAAATACTTCAATAGCTCATTATAATATTATGAATACTTCAATTTCTTCAAATTTCATAATTATTAATTTCAAAAATTATTGTACATATAAAGAAAAGTCAGAAATCCCATGTGAAGTTCAAACGGTTTCTCTTTTTAGTTGCTCACTTTCATTAACTCCTAAGGTTTATCGATTATCATGGAAAGAAAAAAGCGAATGAAACGTAATCACACTGAAACGTAAAGGAATAAAAAAAAAAAAAAATGGGCAAGTTGGAAAAAAATTTACAGATCCCTATGAAGTTGAGCGATGATAGATCGTTTTAATGCTTGAAGAATGAACGATGTAGAGATTATTATATCATGATTAAATTCATGTTTTTCGAAATGACAATTGAAAACGTATCTCCGTTTAGGTTCTTTTATTTTTTCTTTTTTCGCGATTTGTCTTGCGGCGCTGGTAGATTCTCTTGCTTCCGTTTGGACGCTGGTTTTGCTCCAATGCTGCCGCCCTTCTTCCTTCTCTCTTGTCTTTCTCGCTCCTCCAACTCTTGATTTTCACGCTCAATCAGCGTGATCAACGTGTTGCATCGTCGTTGAAGTTCCAAAGCTGTACGAGACTTCACGAACCAGTCGAAACGAAATTGTGGCGCCGATCTGACGGTAGCACGAAGCTCCTCATATACATTTTCCTTGTCAAAGCCAAGTTTATGCAACATACAGACGAGAAAACGATCTTCCTCTTCCGTGTAATTTTTCCCTTTGTTCGTCCCGTATGCTATCCTCAACTGATGGAAAGGAGCACGATACCTAGCCATTTTCGCGTCCAAGGCTTTTTTAATTCCAGCACGCCTCTGTATCTTTGCTTCTCCTCGTTCGATTTGAGCCATCACCCTGTCTATATCTTGCAATTCGTGGCATCGCTCCCAGAAAACAGCTGAGTATTCCATCACTTCTTCAGGTGTTTTTCCTTCAACTTCCTTGGCAATATTTTCAATATCATCTCGACCATATTTTTCGTTAGCTTTTATGAATTGATTGAAATCTCGCTTCGTCCAATTCGTGAATCCTTGAGTAAGCAGTTTCTCTTTTTCTGCAACCTCTTCGTCGGTCAATGGCTGAGCTTCATCTATTTTACGTTGCTCTTCCTTTTGAATTCTAGCGGCGTCTGATCCAAGTTCTGGATTTTTTGGAACCTTATAACCCACTGTTTGCCGGAAATAGTATATTTCTTGATCAAGTAATTCGAATAGTCGTGGCGGGAAGAACTGAAAGTCTTGAACTATCGGTTGTTTTGGAGGTCTAGGTGCTTTTGGAGCTTTTGGCTCCGATACTCTGAGAGCTTCTCTGAAGTAAGCATCGACAGCGTAGTTGGCTTTGCGTTCACGTTTTGGTGGCTCTATCCAGTTTCCTATTCCAAGAATTTTTTGCTTCTCGCGATAATCCTCACCTTCGAATTGATAAACGGAATCCGTGGGTGCGTCTACGGTAAAATTCCGCAGAGAAGATTCACCTAAACTTTCTAGTTTTTGTTTCATCTCTTCAGTTTTGGCTTCACCTTTCTGAAGAATAGTATCTATGTCCTCGTCCGTAATGGCACTATCTTTTGATGCAAATACTTCATTTGCACCATGCCTGATCATGTTCAACATTTCGTCTTTGTTCAATGCTGTTTGTTTTGCATCCACTAATCGCCCCTGTTGAATAACTAGTTTATCTAAACGCAATTTAACCTCGGCACGTTCTACGATCTTTTCCTCTACGGTGTTCTCTGTGATAAACCTGAATACACGGACTTGTTTTTGTTGACCTATACGATGGGCTCGGTCCATCGCCTGTAAATCCATTTGCGGATTCCAGTCAGAATCGTAAATAATCACTACGTCTGCCGTTGCTAAATTAATACCTAAACCACCAGCACGAGTTGACAACATGAAAATAAATTTTTCACTTCCCGGTGCATTGTATTCATTGATCTGACGCTGTCTATCTTCGTGTGCGGTGTTTCCATCTAAACGACAATATTGGAAACCCCTCCAATGGCAGTAATCTTCTAAAATATCCAACATTCTGGTCATTTGACTAAATATAAGGACACGTGATTCTTGTTGCTGTAATTTTGGTAATAATTTGTCTAAGATTACCATTTTGCCACAGTTATAAACAAGATGTTCATCAGTTGTGTAAGGTGGTCCAGGTTCTGCGCCGTCAAACAAATATGGATGATTACAACATTTGCGCAGTTGCATCAAAATATTTTGCAATCTCATTTTCTCAATCTTGCCAGCACCATTAACTATATCTATATCTTTCATAAGTACCTTGGTATACCATTCTCTTTGCATTTTACTGAGTCCAATGTACACTTTGATTTCTTTCTTAGGCTTTAGTCCTTTCTCTACCTCAGATTTCAAACGCCTCAAAAGGAATGGTCTAAGGACAGCATGTAATCTTTCAACTAATGAATTATCACCTAAGAAACTATTAGTATTAAACCAAGAGTCAAAATCATCTGAACTATTAAATACATCTGGTAATAAAAAGTTGAGCAAGGACCACAGTTCGTGAAGATTATTCTGTAATGGTGTTCCTGTCAGCAGGAGACGATTAGCTGTTTTAAACTCTCTCAAAATCTCAGACAGCTTAGACTTTTCGTTCTTTATTCTATGAGCCTCGTCAATTACCATGTAGCGCCAATTAAACTTCTTAAACACAGATTTTTCCTTTATAACCATCTCGTAGGATGTTACACAGACATCCCATTCGCCGGGCATCATAACCTCTCTGATGAAAGTGTTCCTAGTCTCTGCATCTCCTATAAGGCAAACTGCCCTCAAACTTGGACACCATTTTTTGAACTCATTCATCCAGTTAGCTAATGTAGACTTGGGAACGATGACTATATGTGGTCCAGGAATGTTTCTGAAGTGTTTCATATATCCCAGCAACGAAATAGTCTGCAGTGTTTTACCAAGACCCATCTCGTCAGCCAGGATACCATTAATACCGTGCTCATATAATGATATCATCCAATTTAAACCTCGTATTTGATAATCTCGTAACTCACCGGACTTGATGTAATGTGGAGAAGATTCGAAACGAGTGGTTGGTGCAACACTGGCGTTACTTTCAGCCAACAATTCCTCATCTTCTTCTTGTTCTGTCTTACGATGCCTGTGGTCACCAGAATCGGATTTTACTTGATTTTCTATAGGCTGCTTCCTAGGCCTACCAGCTTTAATTTTTAAGGGACTTCCAGCTTTATCCTTCTGATTATTTGTCATAAAGTGTGAAAATATTTCAGTCTGTTTTAATAAATAATCGAATCGTTTACTACGATCGGTTTCGAGTTTTGTTTCAAAATCACCACCTCGAGACGACGTGGTCTCGGCCGAAGATCCATTCGAATTGTCTCCCGTATCCCCTGTATCTGCGTTTTCATCTGGCTTTGACATTTTGGATTTATATAAGTTGATTTCGATTAATTTAACAAGTATACGTGCTTGATTTAACTACGATTATTTGTATTGTTACAGCCGGTCTTTACTGTGGCGTACACGAACACATAACATCAAGCGCCGCCATATTGAATTGTATTGTCCCTCCAAAATCATGAAAATAACGCCATCTATAAGTATCTGTTTACCTATTAACAATAAGTCACGTTATTCGAACGAATATTTGAATTTATTTTCAAGGAATTACATTTCATGCGAACATATTCTTGCGATTGACTTTGTTACTGGATAAAAAATATTGTTCCGAAGTATTCGAAATACTATCTTTTATATTATCTTTAAAAAAGTGATAATCGATACATTCATAGCCGATAGTTTTATGAAAATTCTCAAATAAAAAATTGTAGTTTGTCTCCTAATGAAGACAATAATAACAAGTAAAAAAATACGATAATTTATATTGTTGAAGATGTATTTTCTGATGAAATATCTTTCATTAATGATTTTTTTTTTATTAGTATTAGTAGTGTATAGTATATTATTCTATTTATAAATAGTACATTATTCTATTTATTAATCAACAAAGTAGACATGCGTTTTAATTTTATGGTTATTGTAAACATTCGTCTTCGCGTGAACGTCTAAAGAGATAAAAAATATAAGACTATTGATGCTCGATTATTTATGCAAACGTGTCTAAATGGACTCAACATTCTCACTAATTGTATGCGAAAATTAATGTATTAATTACATTTACATTTACATTTTACATTTTTTATATTTTGTATTTTGATGCTTACATTGAGATCATATGTATTAGTACATAGAAGGAATATTTATATACTCCTCGTCTGTGGTATTAATCTATTATTCAATTTTATTATTGAATTTTTCTGCCGATCGATTTTTTTAAACACAAAACTACAGTCACAAGGTATAAACATAGATAGACCTTGCATCTTATAGCATAGATAAAATATAGAATAGATCTGGCATCTTATAGGATTTCATGTCATGTGTTCTGAAATACCGACATGGCAAGAAATCACTAGATTTTTAACGCACTCTATGTTTGAACACAGATACTCTTCATACATTTCGATTTTATTAATTCCTGTCACTAGTAACGCTGCTGTGTAAAATCAGTGTCCAAACCGGTACAGTAGGATGTGACATGAAAATGATAATGCGATCTTAGGATCCCACAAACATGCGACAGAGAAATGCATTGCATGTAGGTTTATTTACGTACGTATACATACATCTCGTCTGTGATTGAATACAATTGACCATAAGGAACGCTAGTCTTAATAATAGCAGGAATTGATTACTTCCATTGATGTTGTTTCCTAGACGACGGAACTCCGCGAAATGGCAACAAACGATATACTTAACTGTTTGATATTCAAGTTAATCGTGGTACTTCATACCATTCTAGTACAACTCTCTTAAAGTGTTCCACTGTTTCCGTCTTCGAAAGTTTCGTTCTTAATATACGCGTAATTTATCGAAGCTTGAAAAATTGAGAAACATGGCCGTTGCAAAACAATCAGTTTCAGATCGTGAAATTATTGTGCCACCGAGTTTGCCGTTAATTTTAAAGGAATTTTGCAAGGCGGCTATTCGAACACAACCGTACGATCTACTTCGATGGTCCACTACGTATTTTCAGGCGTTAGCCGATGGAGAAGAACCACCAACGAAATTAAGATTGGAGTATCCACCGCCGAATACCGCTTCCGGTTTAACTCTCGGTTTCCTAAGAATTTTACTTCGACAATTCGGCGGTATTAATAATTATATTAATAGTTAAATGAATTCTTTTGGTTTATTAATAATTAGTTTTTTATGTTTAATATTTGAAGATATTGATTCTTTTGAATTCGTATCCTACATTTGTATTAATTATTAATATATAATTACTAATATTTAGTATGTATATATTTTTCTATCAAAGGATGTAAAAAGGTAAATACAGTAGAGCGCTCTCATACAAACTTCTACATTTCGAATATTTGAATAATAGTTGTATCGTCGAGATAAAATGTCTACTGATAGCTTGAATGTTTAAAATCACTAAAAGCCTAAAAGTTTAATATAGAACGAAGGGGAGATTGTTATATATATATAACAAATTAAGATTACATTGATCTATAAACATATATTTTTTGATATATTTATTCAATATATTGTAATATGTTATCCTCTTCGAATCTCTAATAAATAAATCAATTATTTTATCATTGATTATAAGATTATCTATACGGTGCTCTAGGGAGGTAAATTATCTACAACAGATAATTTACTAATTATCAACAGATATTCTATTCCGATGTTTGGATATTAAGTTATTCGAAAAATAAGAGGTTTAAATAAGGGAAGCTCTGCTGCATCTTCTTCCTGCTGAAACTGAAAGATAATGTTTTTTTTTAAATAGATTATAATAAATCTTTGTCTGTGGAAACAATTCTAAGGCGATGGGATTGTTTGTGCTTGGATCGTCGGGATCTAAATTTAATTTTGATGATCGGGAAATTTCGACGAAAATGCCAAGTGAAAAAATTCCTAGCCATTGCTGTTGGACTTTTAGGTTCCAGCCTTTGTGAAACAATGATTATGATTTGTGAGTTGTTCACTCATGAACCTGAAGGTGGATCTGCTATGGTTCCAGTCACATTCTTTCTGGAGATATATGGGTATGATATATGGAGATATTTGAATATAATATATCGTATATATTATTAAAAAAACCTGATTCAAAGAGAATAGAATGTACATATGTAAAATGTTAAAAAAAATGGTTCCAGTCACATTCTTTTTAGAGATATATGGGTATAATATATGGAGATATTTGAATATAATGTATTGTATATAATATTAGAAAAATTTGATTTAAAGAGAATAGAATGTACATATGTAAGATGTTAAAAAAAAAAAGATAAGTAATAAGTAAAGAAATAAAAAAATTATAAGGATGTGATTTTCATAAGTATAAAATTTATGGAAATTCCCATATAAATTACATATTTATTTAGATCTTAAAATTTACTAATTATTATATATATATATATTTACTAATTATTATATATATATATATATTTAGATCTTAAAATCTATAATATTTTAAATACCAAAATAATAAGAAAGTAATGTTTAGGAGTATTTAATATTTTATCAAATTTAATTATTAACATTAATAAATATGCTTTTTCAGATATCTAGCTGGACTTTGCTGCGACGGAAGTGAAAGAAACCCAAGCGATGAGGATCCGACAGAGTTCATTATGTGCGATTCTGAATATTCGGGACATCAGGAATTAAATGCAGAACAATTTTTTATAGATCGTTCGGTTGCGAGTCAAGACACGGAAGCTGACATCAATTTAGATTTAGAATTAGTATCAAGAAAGGATACAAACTCTTCAGAAAGTAAGTATTTTCCACCGACAAGTTTCGTTTCTGCACTTTTTTCCACATAATTTAGAAAAGTATTTTTTGACTCAGCTGGTACAACGCCGCAGTCAAGCGAAAGTGACATTGGTCAAAAAAGAATGATTGAAGATGAAGGGGAGGAAAATGTTTCTAATAAAGAAGCTTCAAGAATGAAATCTAACGAGATCTCTGTTATCGATGTTGAATCAAACAGACGATCGAGATCTATTGATGAACAAGATTTGAAAGACGAAAATACATCTGCGAAAAGTAGAAGTAGCAGTATTTCAGGAGAAAGTTGTAGTGAGAAACCGAAAATGCAAAGTACGAAAGATAGAGCTGAAAGAAGCAGAAAAAGGAAGACTATAGATCCAAAATTACTCAAGTATTATCCGAATGTCCCTGGTAAGACAGTAGAGAAGTTTTAATTATATTATAAATCGAAATGTAAAATTGTTGCAGCGTATTTATGTTATGCTTACGATTATTTATAAGCTTGAAACTTTTTGTAAAATTATTTGCAATTTTTGTTCCGATTTTTTTTTTTTATTAAATAATTCTTTGTGTGATCATTAGAATATTAATCCCGATAAAATTTCCATTATAATTCGATAATAGGTATTGGATCTCGTCTATCAGCTGAAGAAGTAGCTAGTGTCGCTATATGGTTGAGTGAATGCGCAAGAGTACAGGAAGGTATGGTTGGCCCGCGAAATCTTCGGCATACGAATTGTCCTCCTTTAGATAGACAAGAGATATCAGAGTCTTGACAAAACGCCATATAAACTTAATACATACAATATTTAATTCATGAAATTTTTTGTCAAATATTAAACATACAACAATAGCAAATGCAAATATTAATTACAAAAATTAAAAAATAGCATTACTTAAAAAGTTCTTTTTTTTGCCTTAATTTTAAAATGTTTATGTGTTCATTTTTTATCGATTAATATTGAACGCAAGAAAAATAGTTACAAGTACAAATAGAATAGAAGGTAAGAAAAAAATAGTTACAAGTACAAATGAACAAACAGAAAATTGTATAATCAATAAATTATAGCAATATTTATTCACAATTGTTTCACATTATTTTACAAAATATAATATTTATTTTGTACAATTGTAATATTAAACACTGACAGTATAAAAATCATTTATATAATTTTACACACACATGCATTCACGTTATATAGGTTACATATATATTAAAATATGCGACTGTTTATTTAGAATTTTTAAAGGAGTTTTTAAATTTCAGCATCTAAATAAACATTAATATGTTTCATAATTTATAAAATATCATTAAATACTTTTTATTTAGATGAGTATATTTATGTATATAAATATTTATATACATGGTTCCAAAATACAAAATAAATATAGAATTAGAAATTAAAAAGATATTCAATGATATTCGATGATATCTTTTACTTATTATAATGATAATGTGCTTAATATTTTAATAGTAAGTACAAATTTGGTACATTTTACATCTGAACAATTGTCAACCGGATGAGTAAAAAAATGTATTATGTATTACAATAGAAATATGTATTAAAATATTATAAATTAATAACACCTCAAAATTGTTATATATTTTCAAAATCTTATATGTATAATTTTTCAAATATTAGTGTAATATTGTTACGTTATTATACACTTATCTTAGAAAAAAATTTATCAGATCTATCTTCTCATTTTATTAAAAGAGAGAGGGGCGAGAGAGAGAGGGAGAGAGAAACAAAAACAATTAGTACTGCTTCAATATCACAGGAACGTTTTACTTAATTTTAACACGATACTAAACATCTGTTCATATCTTATTATATTTTATAAAGTATATTCATTTTAGTAGCAAACATTATTTAAAAAAAAAATTTTTAGAATAAACATAGAGATTCATATTTTGTTTCTTTAAATATTAATTCTAAATTGTGGATGGACTTGTAGATGTAAAATATGCAACAAAATATATGCATTGTCTGCTAAAATAGTATAAATTTTGTAAAAGAATTATCTTTACAAATATACACATGTTTTATCTTTCATAAAACATTTAGAAAAGATTGCCCTGTTTCAATATGTATCATTCTATTTTTGTTATTCATATCTCAAATTTACACAAGCAAGGTGGGTAATGTACGTATTCTAAATAATCGCCGTACTTGATGATAAAATAAATGATAAAAAGTTGTAACAAGTAATAAAAAAATAAGACATAACAACAAATTTCTGGTTCTTGTTCGATTAGTTCTCCACTCAAGGAGTTTATGCCGATCAGTGAAAAGATTTCGATATTGCATAGGCAATTCAAAAGTACTGCGTAATGGATAGAGTGAGCGATAAAAGTCATTTAATAATGCCCGAACTATCTCGTTTTCAGAATGTCGAAGAGGATCCATATCATCATTTAAACAAATAAATTTTCTAAAATTTAATAAAATTATTCTATTTTATCTATTGTTAATTCTTAATAATATAAGAATAATTACTCACTTTGGATCTCTGCGTATCTCGTCTAAAAGTTGTACAGTTAAAGACACGTTGCTCGTTAACATTTCGAATATTTCATTTTTTCCAGCTTTAATTATTTCGTGTGGGTAGAGTTTTTCTTCACCGAATTTGCTTCCAACCTTTCGTGAAATAGATTCGCATTTTGTTACTAGTTCTTTAGTTACTGTTGGCTATAAAAATATAAATTATTAATATAAATAAAAGATTTTCTTATTAGAATTAAATATCAATTAAAATATTATAACAATTAATTATGACAATCAATTATTCATTAATATCAATGAGAAAATACTTACAAGAGATGAATCCAAATATCTTTCTCCAGATGGTGGATTTAATATTTGATTAACTTTTATATGATTTGAGCAATTCGTTATTGCATTCTCAAATTCAACGACTAGATTATAATCAAGAGGAAGTGGATAAAGTCTAGATAGAAGAGTCCTAATTTCTCTGTCTGACCAAGTGCTGAAAATAATAAACCACGAAACCACACAGAATTACTATTTCAATTAACACTTCTGTTATTGACTTTCTCTTTCTATTATTATTTTATACTAGTATAACTACCCTGATTTATCCGTGTCAAATGTATCAAATATTTTTTCAATGGGTATTTTCCGTTTTTCACTCATTAGAAAGTAAAAATAAGAGAAAGCATATTGCATATCCTCAGAGTTTCTAACCTTATGGCTAGATGTTTTTTTAAATTCATGTTCAAATTTTTGTTGCATATCAGAAACGATCCATTTATCTATTAAATGAGGCATATGAGCAGGTACTCTCCTACGTTCGAAACCATATGCCATATTATATATTTTGTTCACATATAATAAAGATTCAGCGTATGTATCAAGTTGTCTTGTTCTAAGTTTCCATTGATCAGAATGGGTTGATTTATGATTAACGTTTATAGTACTACTAACTTGAGATAAATTCATAACATCATCGTTTAAATAACGTTTCAGTTGTAAACGTCTTTCAGTAATGTTCAACGTTTGATATCTTGTCTTACTCATCACTTTTGACAGCATCAATTTCTGAGAAGATATAGTTCGATTATTTTCATTCAGTTGTTTATTAAAATATCTTTCAATGGAACTCATATAATTATTTTTGAAATTGTAAGATTTATTTACATGTAGTTTTGAGTTTGCGATCACACTTGGTGACGTTTGTTGAATAAATGATTCTGCATCGTTCCATATAGTATTTATACTTCTGTTTCTCAATATATTTAAAAATTTTAATCCATAGTTAGTATTTTCTAAAGGATTTTGTAGAAGTTTGTGTGGATAGTCTCCTTCTTCCTCGAGAGCTTCACTATCAGTAGGAACTGGTGTGCTATCACAATCTCCTCCTGCAATACAAAATAAAGACACAAGTTTAAGTGTAAGTATTTTATATATATATATAATTATATAATTATCAGCTTATTAAATTTTTTATTAGTTGTTATTTGAAAACAAATATAAACAATGAGTGCTACCATCAAATTCACATAATGTTGTATTACAAGCAGGATCACATGACCCATCACCCACCCAGGCCCAAGGGCAAACATCTGAACAATCAGGAACCCACCATGCAAGATATATTTTTTGACCACTTGCTTGTGTAATAAAATCTTCTGGCCATACTTCTGCTCCTAACATTACATCATCATTAAAATATAAAAATTTATCTGAAATACCAGGAATTCTACAAAAATAAAAAATTAATGCATTATAAATAACAATTAATTGTTATATATATTATTATGAATTTGATGTTACCTATGAATATGACTTTCAATAGCTGGACTAGAAAATGTTGGAAGATCACTTTTATTTAAAAATATATCTTCATGAGTAATAAGTGTGACTTTAGGATTATCCATATCTAACCAACTTGGTATTTGACCATTTGTAACAATATATACATGTCTCACCCAAGGTGCGTACATTTCCAATGAACGTAATGAATACCTTAATTCATCTTTATCACTAAATCTGGAAGTAGCTGTGTTAACATCCATAACAGAAACATGCTCTTTAAGATTTTTTACAAAGACTGGATCTGAGCCATTGACCCATGTATATACAACATCTATTGGAACATGTTGGCATAGTTTTTTTTGGAAAGAAATACCTAATATATTGTCATTGAAAGAATGGAACACTGCTTCATACTTCTCTTTACTCCAAGTTATCCACATCTGTAATGTTAATATTTGATTAGAATTAAAATTTGAATTTCAAATTTAAAAAGTTTAAAACTCAACAATTTAAAAGTTATACTAAAATTTGAAATGTATATTCGTGGGCAATAAAATTTTAGTAATCAATAAAATAGTATAATTTAATAGTATAATTTAATAATCAATAAAATAAATTTCATACAAAAATAATGAAATAAATAATAGGGTAAATAATAAGAATACTAACCTCACCAAAATGAACAATACCAATAAATATGCAAGTAAACGCTGTTAATATCACCAGTAGCGAATATTTATATGAAAGTAAGTCGTAACAGCGACGCTGTAATAATTTCCATGTACTCATTATATTTATAAAGATTCTACATGCGATTAACATTGCTAAAATTACTATACGAATTCACATAACACTGTTTACATCTCCGGCTAATTTCAAACAGTAAAAATTTACTGATATTGGTATAACCATAAACAAAATAAAATATAGATCTAACATCCAACATATAATGTATTTTGTTCATTACAGTTCAAAAATTATGAAGTTTATAAAGAATAAAGATTTTTTGAAGAAGTTTTAATTTGAAACGGACTTGTTTTAAAATATGTATTATTTTAAAATAATATATATTTATTTTTTATCATTGTTCATTGTTCAATAGATTGGAATTTTTGTTATTGTTGAAATCGTTTCGTAGGAAAATAAAAGAAATTAGTGAAAGAGAAATTAGTGAAATTCAAAATTAGATCATTTTTATCACTATACAAAAAAATGTTTATATTCTGTGAATATTATATTTAATGTAATATTTAATATACAAAATACTAGTTATAAAGATTATTATTTTCTTTTATATAATTATAACTATTTTATTGTTCGCATTATATACAAGCATATCATAATTACAATAAAGTAATGTACAAATTAGTATGTAATTGAGCATTTCAGTACACATGAATGTATGTGTCCTAATTAAATCGGAAGATCTTTGAATATATACATTTAAAAATGGTGCACAAACATTTATTTGGGGATATTTTTGCAGAATGAGAAAATTATTATTATGGAGAAAATAATATTATGAACTATCAGATTGTTATCAAAGATTAATACTTTTGATAAGATTTAATAATAATATGATAGTTCATAACACTACTTTACATAAAATTGCGATGTATATCATGTATATATCTTTGATTTTCGTTGTATAAGAGTATATATTTGTAAATATAGAAAAATATACTTGTATACAATGACATATTGTATAGATTAAAACTGAGCAGCCTGTATATTGTATATGATATATAATATACAGGGTATCCAATTATAATCTATAAACGAAAATATTTTCCAAACTACTCATTATTCAAAAAAATGTTTCAGACAAA